CCCCAAAACCCCAAAACCCCAAAACCCCAAAACCCCAAAACCCCTATTTATACCTCTAAAATTGATATGACTTTGATAAATAAAAATGAAAAAACAGAAAATAGGCTCTCTCCAAGCTAAGTCAGATTCTACCTTAAGCAAGCCTTCAAATTCTCACAAGAAGAACAACTTGAAAGCATTTGTACATCCTAAAAGAGGAGACTCCCAGAAATGGCCGAGCAACGAGAGCCAAGTCATGTCTGACAAAGAAGATCAACAAGGTAAAATATGCAATTAATCATTAGATCAAGCTAACAAAACTGAGATGGCCCTGAATCCTCAAAAGGAGGAAGCTAAATCTGGAGATATTGTTCCAATTCCTGAAGAAGGTATTGAAAGAGCCCTCAACTCTAAGCATTCAAGCGTTTCTCATGCTTCAGAGGTGATTAATAATACTAGTAACGAAGTGGTGGTACAACAGCTCGAGAGGTAAGCAACTTCTAAGTTTACGAAACTTTGGCTAACATTAAAAATAGGTTCAACGCTGGAGAAATTTGAAGGTTTCTAGTCGGACTAATGTACATTGTAATATTCATTTTCGTATTTGCAACTGAAGAAGAGATGTATAAAAACCACGCAGTTACTCTTACTTTGCAAGTGATTGAGCTGGTGTTTTTGGCGGTCTTTGTAGCAGAAAGACTCATTGACTTATTCGTGAAGAATAAAAATCCCTTCAGCATTTATTACAGTGGAGTAATGGTACCTGTAATTTTGGTCCTCGCGGTTTGGACTGTTCTTGATATGATAGATGAAGAGGAGTTTAGAGAATTAGGCGCCTATAGGTTTTGCAGAGTAATCTTGATTATCTTGAAATTTGATGAAACTAAGTTTATTATCCACTCCCATTGTGGAAAATACCTACCTCGGATTCTTAATGATATACCAGAACTTGGTAAAGGAGATAAGGAATTGTATCCACAAGGGTCAAAATTTAAGACGGTTCCAACTATACATCAGGACTGGGTGAGTAAATGTAGCAAGGAGGATCATTTCTGCATTAACTCGAGTGTCCTTAATATTCATAAAAGGAGAGACTCTTACCATATCAGACATAAAATTAAAGACAAAGTTGCAAAATACGACTTTGATAAAGAACTTTTGCTTACCAGGAAGACCAAAAATATTATGCAAAATGTTGGCAAATTTGAGTTTGACATGTTTGAACTCAACAAAGCAACAAATGGCAATGAATTAGCTATATTATCTTCATTCCTTCTTAATAAACACAACCTATTCGTTACTTGTGCTATTGATCCATCAGTTTACACCAACTTTATTCTGGAAGTTCAAAGAAACTATAATGAAGTAGCCTATCATAACAAGTGACACGGAGCTGATGTCTGAAGACTTTCATATTATTACGCCACAACTCATGGACTAATGGAGAAGGCTAAGCTCAGCGATCTTGACCTCGCAACCCTCATTATCGGCGGAAGTGTGCATGATCTAGGACATCAAGGAGTTAATAACTCTTTCCTGATAGAAACTCAGCACTCTTGGGCTCTTAAATATAATGATGTCTCTGTATGAGAAAACCATCATGTCGCAGCAGCTTTTCAAATTGTAAAAGATAATAAAAATTGCAATATTTTCCAACACATGAGTAGTGCTGAGTACCGAGATATTAGGAAAAAGCTAACCCAAGTGATTATTTCAACAGATATGGCCTTGCACAACAGCCATCTCACTAAGATGAAGGAAATTTTAGGTGATGAATGATTTGATATTGATTCTCAGAGTAATAAAACGTTCCTCATGGAGATGTGACTACATGCTTCAGATTTATCGAATCCGACAAAACAATGGCATGAGTCTCAAAAGTGGGCCTGACAAGTGTATGAGGAGTTCTTCTATCAGGGAGACATTGAACTTGAGCTTGGAATTCCTGTCAGCGCAATGACTGATAGGATAAATACGAATATTGCAACAGCTCAGCTAGGCTTTATTGATTTTGTGATTAAGCCAACTTTTGAAATTTGGTCTCAATACCTCTCATCTGTTAAGATCCATCTTGATACTCTTGTTGCAAATCGCAAAAGATGGGAAGAAATGGAGGATGAATATGAAATTATTAAAGAAAAAGGAAATAAACTCTTAAAAAGATTCAATGAATTAGCCCAAGATGAGCCATCTAACGGGCAACAAAACTCTAAATCTCCAAGTCAGGGTAACACTTGCATCATCGACGACCTTGTTGATCATAACATCGACGTGATGGAAAGCAGAGTATAGATAAAAATTTTCTCCCAAACTGAACCATTTATGGAAACTAAAAATAACTATTAGTTAAAATAATAAGCTTTATTAATCATTTCATTTTGTCCACAACCTGTAGGGGTTTTGGGGTTTTGGGGTTTTGGGGTTTTGGGGTTTTGGGG